GTGTATGTGCAACGCCTCTTATGCATGTATGTGCAACGGCCTTTTTCGGCCTCCTAGAGGCTTGAGGAAAACTTCTGCAGCCTTTGCAGGCCGAAAAATGGGCCCATTTCGTCACTTCTAGTATTTCCGGAAGTATAGAAAGTGATGAAGCGGGCCTATTTTTCGGCCAGCAAAGGCTTTCCTCAATCCTCTAGGAGGCCGTAAAAGGCCTCAAACAGCCCAAAAATCAGCTGTTGATGCGCGCACATGCACAGCGGGGTAAGTTTGCCTGTGGCTCGCATGCTGATGCTGTAGGTCCTTAGGCTGCTTCTCTTCTCTCCCTTACTGAATTACTTCCTGCCGATTAAAGTGGAAATGTATGGTCCTCAAATTACGACCCCAATTGCCACTGGACTTTGAGTCATAAACTGTTGTGTTGCACAAGAATCTAGTCAACTAATGGTCAGCACTTGATAAGGGTCAACAGAATTCACAGGCGGCTGGACTTAAGATTGTTTGTGGCAATGTAAGGATTCTAAGCTGATGACACTTTTAACTCCGCCTTCCAGCTCAGCCTGTTCTTCTCCTACAGTTTTCCTCTCAGTATTGTCGATATTGGAGCCCACTCACAACCACACATCCTTTGTTAATGCACATAAACCTCCTGTAGATGCCTTCTCCTGGACTTCAGTCCCTGTTCTCTGTTTTTTCCAGGTGAACCCTAATACAGTGATACACGTGTGGAAAGGGAACTTTCAACAGGAGATGTCTCGTGTCACGAAGGCTGGTTTCCGGGCCCTTCTGTCCTCTCCTTGGTACTTGAACTTCATCTCTTACGGGCAGGATTGGTTGGAAGCATATCGGGTGGAACCCCTGGCCTTCGAAGGTGGGTTTTTCCCCAGTGTAGCCCCATCAACATACACTGCAATACGTAATAATACTAATAATCTACATAGAGAACCAGTTTGCTCTGGTGGTTAAGGCACTAGTTTAGAAGACTGAGTTCTAGTTCCACTTGAGACGTGTAATCCAGTTGGGTAAATTTGGGCCAATCACCAGGAGGCTGTGAGTTCTAGTCTCACCTTAGGCATGAAAGCCAGTTGGGAGACATTGTGTCAGTCTCTCTTTCTCAGCCCAACCCACTTGGTAGGCTGGTTGTTGTGGGGAAAAAGAGGAGGAAGGTGTGTTGGATACACTTGCATCCTTGAGTTATGTGTAAAGATAACCAAGGCAGGATATAAATAAATACATGAGTGTCTCTTCCAACAGGCAGCGCAGAACAAAAAACACTGGTTATTGGTGGAGAAGCCTGTATGTGGGGCGAATACGTGGATGCAACTAATTTAACCCCCAGGCTGTGGTAAGACTTATTATTGCATTTCAACGACAGAATCTTGCAAAACCAAATATACTTCCCTTCTCCTTCCCTTTCTCTTCAAGGGAATCACGGACGGTTCCTTGAGACACTTTCTCAAAATACGTTTCGGGCCTGGACTCAAATTTCTCTTATCTGACTGTTGCCTGGGTTGGGTCTCTTCCTCATGTTCCTCAAGGTTTTTCTCACAGCCCAGGACAGATAGCCAAAACCACTCCAGTTGTGCAAATATATATATATATATGTTTCTGTAGAAATGTTAGCCTGCTTTCCCTCCCAAGCGTTGTTCATTACCTGCCAGGTCTTCTGTTCTTCTGATGCTCACAGGTGTCAGCTCTAGTGGTTCTGTGTAGGAACACTGTCCTGGAGTAGATTTCGGTTCCAGGATGTCTGCAGGAAGGGCTGCCAAGAGGGCAACCGAGAGACGATACATTTGACGTCTGCATGCAAATAATTCCCCTTATGCCCTAATGTGCTTCCTTTGTGTAACCACACCACGACCCTTGGACCATCATCGTGATGTCCTCTTGGCTGTTCCTGGGCATCTGTATGGCGATTGTTGACTTAGCAGCGGCACAATTTACAAACAACAGCATTACTTATAATAGAACTCTAACCTTTGTTACGGCAACAGATGTTTGCATTAATTTGCAAGCTGTCTAGGAAGGGTTTATCTATGGAGATTCTCAGTCATCCAGGTCCTAGTTGTCCCAAAGGTGCTTTTTTTCTTTTTTCTTTTTTTAAACAAATTTTATTAAATTTACAATTTAAAAAAACAAATCTACAACATATACACAAATAACAAAACCAGAAAAAAGCAAGAAAGAGAGAAAGAAACGCGAAAAGAAAGGAAAAAGAAAGAAAAAGAAAGAAGGGAGGGTGAACATTTAAAAACATTTTCCTTTTCGACAGTTTGTAAGATCTTTTCTTCTTAAATTGTATCATATATGCACATCTTATCCGTATCTATATTTGGATTACACTCAAATAAGTTTATCCCATTCTTTTTTTATACCTTATAATACACGATCTATCTTTGGTCTAACCATTTGTACCAGGAATTCCAGTTGTTGTAATATATTGAAGACTCTTTGTTTTTTAGGGCTAGGGTTAGTTTGTCCATTTCTGCACAGTCTGAGATTTTTTGGATGGTTGGCAGAAGCTGCTGGGACAAGTAACGGGAGCTCACTCCGTGACGTGGCGCTAGGGATTCGAACTAAAGTTCGTTTGTCCATTTCTGCACACTGAAATTTTCAAGAGCCAAGTGGACTTTCTGGTTTTTCTTTGAAGATGTTTCGCTTCTCATCCAAGAAGCCAGTGGTGGTATTCTACCGGTTCGGCCCAGTTCTACCGAACCGGTAGCGCCGAGGAGCAGTGGAGACCGCCGGGGCTCCCATACTAGCCTTTATGTCCCGCTTTTGAAGCGCAGCTGCTTTGCGCGGCAAGCAGATTGCCGCGCGGCAGCTGCTCAAGCGACAGGGACAGTGCAGGCTTGCAGGAGGTGAGTCAGAAAGCCTCTGTGCCTGTGCAAAGTGCGTGTTTGGTGCGTATGCGTGCAAAGTGTGTGTGAATGTGCAAAGCGCGTCCACCAAGCTGAACCGGTGGTAAAAATATTTGAAATGCACCACTGCAAGAAGCTTCTTTCTTCTATTCCTTGACAACACAGTGGCCTCAACGACCCTTTAAAAGAATACAAACGACCAGCTGTCTGCAAGGAGTATAAATCTTTCCATTCCCCCCCCCCCTCCCGGCCGGGCCGAAGAAGCTTCTTGGATGGGAAGCGAAATGTCTTCGAAGAAAAAACAGAAAGTCCAATCCAGTTGCCTCTTTGAAAAAAAAAGCACCTTTGCAACTAGGAAGGGTTCCTGTTCTTTAAAGTAGCCTATAAACTCTCCAAATCAGGGGGTCTCCAACCCTGGCAACTTTAAGACTTGTGGACTTCAACTCCCAGAATTCCTCAGCCAGCAAAGCTCTGGGAGTTGAAGTCCACGAGTGTTGTGGTTCGCCGGCAGCCGGTGCAGACGGCAGCGGAATCAGACGGTGTGGAAGAACAGGGACCAGTCCAGGAGTCTGGGGAGGACTCGGACGAGGGTCCTGCGTCCGATGCAGAGATGGGGCCAGGACCATCTGGGAGTGAAGTGCTGACTCCGGAGTCTGGCAGCAGCGAGGCCGAGGAACAAGGGGAGCCTGTTCCCAGTGTGCATATGCACAGAGCTGCTAGAAGGCGAGAGCAGCTGAGACAAAAGGGCCAACTCGGGAGTAAGGCTGGGAGGTGATTGCCCCTCCCATAAGATATCAAGGACAGGCAAAGGTAGAGAAACCTTTGCAGGAAGCAAAGTCGTTCGCTCTGTTCAGATTAATCCTTGAAGCTCTGCGTGGACTTTGTACTTCGGTTGGTTTTTTTATAGTTCATTTGGCACTTTAGTTGTTGGCAGCAATTCAAAGGAGAGAAAGGTGGGTGCTTATCTCGAAGGGACTGTTTGGGACTCATTACCAGCTGGGAATGAACATAATTCCCAGCGTTGAAATAAAACAAGTGTTGTTTGGACTAAGTGTGTGCTTAATTACGGTCTTGGGAAGCCTTGGTCAGAACAAGAAGTCTTAAAGTTGCCAAGGTTGGAGACCCCTGCTCCTCATCGAGCAACACCTGTTTTATCTCCTCCAGGCCCAGAGCTGGGGCTGTTGCTGAGCGTCTGTGGAGCAACCAGACAGTTCGAAACCAGGAAGATGCTTATGAGCGCTTGTCCGATTTCCGATGCACCTTGCTCAGGTAATGTT